GATTGGGATCAGGATCGGGGTCATGCTGACCCCAAATCCCGGGGTTTCCCATTGCAGACGCCCCCGTTCCCGTTCCCGTTGCCAACGGCCGACCCGGCAGCCTGGAGAAAGATCTGGATCTGTTCGGGTCTGTGGGGTCGGAGCCCAGGAGGGTGAGCGGGGTCTGTGGGGTCGGGAATATATGGGATATTTGGGGTGAGAATATGGGATCGTTTTCCCCATAAATTCACCATAAATTCCCCGGTTTTTCCCGTTTTCCCCAGAATTCACCCCAGTCCCCGTTCCCGCAGGCTGTGGGCTCCATGCAGCACTGGCTCCGTCCCCATAAATCCCCTGTTTTCTCTGTATTTTCCCCATAAATTCCCCATTTATGGAGAAAACATGGTTTTCCCCATGTTTTCCCCATTTTTTTTCCCCATTTTCCCTGGAATTCACCCCAATCCCAGTTCCCGCAGGCCGTGGGCTCCATGCCCAGCTCGGGCAGTGCTGGCTCCATCCCCATAAATCCCCTGTGTTTTCCCTGTGTTTTCCCCATGTTTTCCCCCTTTTTCCCCATAAATCCCCCGTTTTTCCCTGGAATTCATCCCGATCCCATTCCCTCAGGCCGTGGGCTCCATGCCCAGCTCAGGCAGTGCTGGCTCTGTCCCCATAAATCCCCTGTGTTTTCCCCATATTTTCCCCCATGATTTTCCCCTTTTTTCCCCATAAATCCCCATTTTCCCTGGAATTTTCCCTGGAATTCACCCCGATCCTTCCCATTTTCCCCGGAATTCACCCCAATCCCGTTCCCCAGGCCGTGGGCTCCATGCCCAGCTCGGGCAGTGCCAGTTCCGTCCCCATAAATTGCCCATAAATTCCCTATGTTTTTCCCATAAGTCTCCCACAAATTTCCCACAAATCCCCCATAAATCCCCCGTTTTTCCCGTTTTCCCCGAAATTCACCCCGATCCCTCCCGTTTTCCCCGGAATTCACCCCGATCCCGTTCCCCAGGCCGTGGGCTCCATGCCCAGCTCAGGCAGTGCTGGCTCTGTCCCCATAAATCCCCTGTGTTTTCCCCATATTTTCCACCATGTTTTTCCCATTTTTTCCCCATAAATCCCCCATTTTTCCCTGGAATTTTCCCATTTTCCCCGGAATTCACCCCGATCCCGTTCCCCAGGCCGTGGGCTCCATGCCCAGCTCGGGCAGCGCCGGTTCGGTCCCCGAGCACCTGAACCTGTTTGCGGAGCCGGYGCGGCCGGACGAGGGTGGCCGGAGGCTCTCCAAGGACTCCATCCTGTCCCTGTACGGCTCCCAGGC